GCCTCCACCGCTGCCGACGCCGCCGCGAGCCAATCGGGACCGTTGGGCGACGCGTAATCCGTTCCACAGGATTTCTACGTCCGGACGAATTGTTTTTATATCGCCTTATATTGTATTTTTTCCGCTATTTTTTATCCAGAGAACTCGAGTTCTATAATCCGGACACGCACTTGAAGGATAATAACTTGTTCCAAACAGTTTGTGATGATGACCGACGGCGTGATGGACACAACGTTTTCGGGCTGGTCTACTGACGGTTAAAAAAAACAAAAAAAAACACGATCGACAAAATATAGAAAATCGAATCGTGCAACTGATTTTGTCTTGTTTCGATTTTTAACGAGTAATGTGTGGTGCTCGAGCGAAAAAAAAAATAGCACACCTGCAACCACACAGTTATTCTACACGTTTCCGTTGGCCAGGTACCCACATGCCCATGGCAGTCACTCGTTCCGATCACGTTCTCTGTCAAATTTTCGGTTTTATTGCAAATAAAAATATTTATTAAAAAATTTGTAGTCATTATATTATGATAATAATATTGTCACACTAAATGTATTGCAAAAGCAGAATGATTGTAGACGAAGAGKACAATGTTCTTGGTTATGGTTAAGTTAATATGCTCRTTTGGAGAAGTGACGATTAACTGGCGATTCTTTTAATCTATGTCAAAAATAAACAATACTCAAATATTTATTGTAAGGCAAAATTAATATTATTTTCGAGTTATAAACAATTTTAACAGTATTTGTGGCGCTATCGAGTGGTTTGATWTCTGACTTTGGCATTTGGCCCATTTTTCACCGCTAGAATTCGCTTAGTGAATAAATAAACTATGATAAAATAACGTTTTAGAGAAAAAAAATTTATATTATTAATTAATAAAATAAATATTACCTAGAAAAAGACGATGTCTTTGATTATTTAATGCATCCACAACAATATAATATAAAAGAATGCACATAATATTTTATAAATTATATTAATTAATTTAAATATTAAACAATTTGGGTACCTACATAAAATTCAGTGGCGGCTCGTCAGAGGAATTTTTGAGACGACTTCCCATAAAAAAAAGTAGTAACAAAATAAAAAAGTCCAAAGAAAATTGTATTATAATTCAATATTTATACCACTTTAAAAATAATTATTATGGTTTTCGTTATTAAGAGGACGCCATTAAATTCATAAAATTTAGAGTGAATTGACCTATTATAAAAATTAAAGGCAAGATTATTACCGAGTGCATCTCATAGGCTTTTTATTATATTTTAATTTTAAGCTGAGTTATGAGTATTTTTAGTTATAAAAATTATTTACAATTTTAAAATACTCATTACTTGCTTTAAAATTAAAATATAATAAAAAGCCTATGAGATGCACTTGGTAATAATCTTGCCTTTAATTTTTATAATAGGTAAATTCACTATAAATTTTAAAATAACGGAGATAAACGTGATCTGCTGAGCGTAAAATTTGCTATGCTACGCACTTGTACGACGAAGAATTTTATTTTTAAATTAATAATGAGAATACGCGTGTCATTCATAATAATACGGGCGAAAAATATCGATATCGCTGACGGTCGAGAGACTCGCAATTGTGTACACAAATTTCATGTGCACGACAAGGACGGAGGTAGATTGTTTACTGTATAGATGTTATCCAGTGCATTAATTAGACTATACGCTCATTCAAAGTTTTTGTCGTTCGCCATCGTGGTCGTCACGTATTTTTCTGTAAACACAAAAACCTGCAGCGTGTCGTACTGCCGTGCGTCCGAATTAGACCATTGAATTGAGTCTTCTTCTTCTTTTCGTGTCCGGTGCTAGGGCTATTATGTTATTACATTAATACATAAATACATAAAGTTGTCTAAAAAATAGATAGGTTAAAATATGGGTATAAGTATAAAATATAAAAATATAAAATAGAATGTTTAAATATTTTGTTTTAGCCAGTGAGTTGTAATTGATATTGCTTTTTCGTTGGCTAAAGCCAAGTCGTCGGTCGTGCATTCTGGCGGGGCTAGTGTGCACTGTAGTAAATGGTCATCTGATTGGTCTTCGCCACATTCACATAGTACCTATGTCCAGTTCTTTCTGGTTTCCCCATTTCATCATGTTTGCTTTTGTTTTTGCAAATCCAGTTCTCAACCTATATTTTAATGCCTTCCATATAGTCCATTGTTGGTTTCCTCCACATGGTCGGTGCTCAGCAAATGGGACGGGTTTTTCACATTGTAGCTCTTCTCTCCATTTTAGTATTCTGTGTTGTTCCGGTGGATCTTGGATCGTGGTTGAATTGGCAATAAAGCTTCTTCGGGATTTAAGTCTCTTTCGAATTGAGTTATTTGACGTTATATCGCACCGTGTAGCAGGGCTTGAAACCGAATTGATAAATTTGGGTTTAGGTTTTGATTTTGGTTTCCGGTTTTTGATTTTATTGGTTTCGATTTAGGTTATAAATACCGGTTTTTAGTCTTTCGGTTTCGATTTCGATTACATAAAACGGTTTACCCTTTTTCTAGTTTCCATTTGGGTCACAAATGCCGGTTTTCAGATTTTCCGATTTCAATTTCGGTTACATATGCAGRTTTACACGATTTCTATATGGATMAAAAATGGTTTTTACTACTACGTACTTTTGTACTAACAAGTATATTTATATTTTATTGTTTAGTAAATAAAAAAATTTATTTGTAAAAGTAATATAATATTTTTAGAATATCATGTAACATTTTTTTTACATACCAAAAGAAAAATGTTTTCAATATTTACCATTTCATTAGTCATCACTGGTGTATGTAATATAAATATATATTAATATATATACATTTAATCCTTTCACCTTTCACCACCTTAGTACCTTACAGTAGGGTTACTTCAAATTTTAAATTACAGTCATTTTTATAAAATAATATAATATATATAGTACCCTTATACCTATATTGAAAACGTTCAGACATGACAGCAAAAGCACGGCGTGTAGTAATGATATTATTATTATTATTATTATTGTTATTTATTATTGGTATTATACACAAATGTCACAAACATGATTATAATAATAATAAATTACATTATAAATGTTCAGTCCTATCTAATGAATTTACTTGCGAGCCGTCACTGATAAAATTATGTACCTACGCTATGCTGGAAAATGTGCATAGAAATCTGTTATTAGTTGTCCTATTAAAGTAGAATAATGATTCTTTAAAAAAAAAATTATTATGGGTTTTAGGTCATAACTTTAGAA